TGTTCTTGCAGAGGACCCAGGTTCAATTCCCAGCACCCACATGGCAGCTAAGAACCATCATAACTCCAATTCCAGGATGCCCTCTTCTGGTCTCTGTGGGCATTGCACCACATGGGTGTACTTACATACATGTAGGCAATGTACTCATACATATAAAGTAAAAATAATAAAATATTTTTAAAAAATAGGTAAAAAGATCAAATTAGTAATTCTAAAACTTCTCACAGTTGAAAGCTTAGACACAGATGACTTCACTAGTAAATTATGACAATACTGAAGTGTTACTTCACAAACCCTTTCAAAAAACAAAATAAAATAAAAAAGAAGTCAAAAATAACAAAACTATCAAAAATAAAAGAGGGAGCTGTTCCTGGTGGCTCATGCCTTTAATCCCTGCACGGGAGGCAGACGCAGTCGTTTCTCTGTGAGTTCAAGGCCAGCCTGGTCTACACAGTGAGTTCCAGGTCATCTGGGGCTACAGTGCGACCCTATCAAAAATCAAAAAGACAATAAATAAATAAATAAATAAATTAATTAATTAATTAATTAAAATAATCAGGGCACACGCTGGGCACAGTGGTGCACGCTTTTAATCCCAGCACTCTGGAGGCAGAGGCCGGCAGATCTTTGTGAGAATGAGGCCAGTCTGTTGTACAGAATGAGTTCCAGGCAGGTTGGGGCTAGAGAGACCCTGTCGAAAATAATAATAAATGCTAACAATAATAATAAAATAATTAGGGCTGAGGGCTATGGTCAGTGGTAGAGCACTTGCTTAGCATGCTTAAGGCCCTGAGTTTACAAGTTTAAAAACTATTTTTAGAACAGTTTATAGTTACCAAAAAAACTGCAAAATTGGTAGAGAGCATTCCCATAAATTCTGTTCTAGGCTCCCCTTCTATCACTGTATTGCATTAATGTGACAGTTGCCCCAGCTGGAGTCAGCCTTCATACTTCGGTGGGTACTAACTAAAGTTCACACTCTAGTCACATTTCCTTAGGGTTAGCTAACAACGTCCCCGTCCCCGTCCCCGTCCGTCCGTCCGTCCGTCCCGTTCCCTCCCCCCC